CCCCCCCCCCCCCTGCTCCGTGATACTTCTGAGCTCATACCTCTCGCGACTCCAGCGTGCGACCAAAGCGGATTTTAATAACGCGCGAAGTATGTACGTGCGACGCGTCCTACCGACGCAAAGTAAACCATCCTTCGTGTTACTTGTGTACAATGAAGTAGCTCTTTCTTTCTCTTTCTCTCTCTCTCTTTCTTCTAGTATCCTATTTCGAGCTTCTGGAAGCGATAACCTCCATCAACGCATAAATCGTCAAACGCGCAGTTTCCAGCTGTAAAAATATTATGTAAAACGACACTACGACTTCCTTACTATACATAATAGCGGAAACCTGTTCTCGAAGCCGTCTCAAGGAGGTCTCAATTAGTCGTCAATCCGAGGACGGAGCAGCCGATTTGCAAATGCGAAAGTCCTATCAGGATCGGATCTATTACTTCGCGGCTAATATCCTTTCGCGTCGTCGTCATTCGAATTTGCTCGACGATCTCTTTGCCGTCTATCGTTCCCTCGCGCTCGCAAGCGCGTCGATTTCATTTCGAAAGCCGATTGAGAGTCGGCCTGCACCTTTGTCTTTCGTTGACTTTGCGTTGAAGATAGCGGCTCTTCAGACTATAATTAACCGTCGGACGATGCGGCATCAGCACGTATTCCGCGCTTAGTCGAGATAATCGACGCCCGTATCAATGCCTTAGCCTTGAAAATGTATCGCCGAGACTGATGGAAAGTCACTGTTTTCAGGATAAACAACAAACGACGCAAAACGTTCGCAGGCGTGACGATTTATTTTTGTCACTTGAACGGCGACTGCCTGTGTCCGAATTATCGACGATACCGTTATGTAAGAACGCACCAGGTAGGTGTTTAAGGACTGTTTATCAAAATATTATATGCCACCCGTTAATTAGCATCGCTTGGTATTGGTAGCGCGGCGTTCACGCTTAAATTATCTGTTCGCTGATAAAAGCACGCGCGCACACACATACATACGCCAACGTATCGACGCTCTGCACTTTTCCGCAAACTACGACTTCGAAAGGCGATAGCGCAATTATACCGAAAGGAAAAATCTTACATTCAAGTAAATATTTGCTGCGGAGCATTGGAGCAATTATTTTACTTGGATTGAGTAAATATTACTTGAACGCAGCACGCTGAAAAAAAGAAGTGCTACACCTTCAAGTAACATTTAGTCAATCCAAATAAAATGCAGAAAAAAATAGTCCTAAATTAATGATACTTTAAGTAGATATTTTCATACGTGAATATCTTGAATCTAGTGCAAATAATACTTGCATTCAATACAAATTCAATCGGATCGAGACGAAAAATCTTCTAAAAAGGTTATCATATTCTCGCTTACATATGAGAATATTTATTCTTGATTTAAGACTAATCTTTGTCTGCGTAAAATACTCCTTAGCAAATATTTATTTGAATATAGCATTTTTTTCCTTTCTGTGTGGATTTTCTGCATTTAATCGTGCTGCTGTCGTTGTTGAATTACACGTTCGCGATATTTCAAGTCGCGAACGTCGACTTGGTGCGTTCCGCATACATTCTCGCCGGTAATTATCGGAACAATTACCGAGAGAAAAAAATTAGTAACGGGAGAGATGTTATCATCTAATTTAGAGGTGTCATCGATGTCTAGGACGTCTGTTACGCTCCGATAGTCTCGTTTTGCCGCGATATTCTACGACGCAGAAACGAGCCGATATCGACTTTCCCCTCTCTTCTCTTTCCCCTCTCTCTCTCTCTCTTTCTCGCTCGCTCGCTTGACATCGCGCGTGTTGATATTCTCATATCCCGCATTTGTCCGTGTGCGAACGGTGAATGTAGCGGCAAAATATTTCTCAAGACATTTACGTCTCCTTCGACGTGTGTTTCTTGTCGCGCCTCCGCAAGGTGGATTACAAATCGCGCTTAATTTACGAACAATCGTAGTGTAATCGACGAGAGTCGGCTTCCCGCCGCTGAAATCGAAGACCTTCCGTTCTCCAAATAACACACACACACACAACCAACTCGCTCATTTTCCTCTCCGTCTGTTTGTCCATCCTCCCGATATTAAAAACGGAACATATAGCGTATGTGAGACTTCGCTTTGCTCGAAAATAACTTTCTGACTTTTGAAATAAAAAAATGATGACGCCACTTCGGGTAAAAGCCTCGTCATTTTGCCTCGAGACCCAAAGCCGTCGCGACGTCGTCCGTACTTGTTCGACTCGGCGATACACAACGACACGCGACCATACCGGTGCCGAAGATACGCAGCAGAAGGCAACGTACCTGGCCGGCCGGGTGTAGCGCTTACGTGTTGGAATTTTCTAGGTCGCGTATGTTCTCCATCGTATAGACCGGCCACGTGAGCGGAGAGCATTGGATGCGACGGAGGCGCGTTCGGAAATCTCGTTACCGCAGCGTGGGAAATCTATACGAGCTGGCACGTGCTCGAAGCTTCAGCCTCGCGCCTATCGATAATCGACTTTTTGCTCGGACGTAAATAGAAAAACGGAAGTAACGGGGGACAGAAGGGTCGCGAACGTATGAAAAAGAAACGAAATGATCGTCGTAAAACGGCGTGACGTCATCATTGGAGGTAGCGAAGACTCCGTTAATACCGTTCCTCCCGTTTCTTTGGCACGGTGACATCGAAAATGACCAATCGGAAGAATTATTCATTTATTTATGCATCGTCGTTTGATAACTTGATGAATCCACAGCGATCCTCCGTAACACGGGGGTCAATGATGCGTGAATATTTAAAAAGGAACCGCCTAATTAGAAATTTTTCATGTCACCACGCCTAAGAAATGGGACAGCATCGATGGAGTCTTTCGTACCTCGTTCGGACTATCCTCAGGCGGATATCGAATACCTGGTTATTGCCGGCGATCTCGCGTGTTCAGAATGAAGACCACCCAGGTATAGCTTCGTGTCGACGGTACGGCTTGGAACAGAGCGACCGACGAAGCGAGCAACGGCAAAATGCAGCTGAGCACACACATTTGCAGGCACGCTGACGGTGCACCGGCGGCGTGTCAACAAGAATGGCAACGGGAGACAGCGGGTGTATTGTTACATCCTGCCGCGCAGTTTCGGCCGCTTAATTACATTCGATTTTTTCATTCCGCGATCTCGAACTCGGCGGAATTTCCGTGAATGCGATGGACGCTCGGAGGATGCGCCGAGTAGACGACGGGCTTCGTTAATCTCTCTCATTGCGACATTCCTTATTTGTCCGACTTCTCTTGCGCGTAAAATATAAGTGCGAGATCCGAGCGGAGAAATTGCACGATCCGGCGTAAGAAGATCGTAGGAACGCGATACGTTATCGGAGCGCCGCTATTGGCCGCTATGCGCTATGCATCTTTCGATGAATTTCTCGCTCGTTGCGCAATTGCGCGAGCTTACGTAAGAGGCGGTCTCTTTGGTCCTCGCGTTGAATCTCGAACGTTCCCGCTCGTACGAAAAATCATTCAAGCCCGTGCACGAGCGTACAAACATGCACGCAGAGGGGCGCGGGGGAAACGTCCGCCATGGTCGGTGACGACGACCGCCAGCTAGAACCGGCACTGCTCATCGCGCGCAAACGCACTGCCGGTTTCCGCGGCGTATATAAACGTGGGGCGACGAGCGCGGAGCATTCAGTATCGAACCGATCCTTCGGTCGAACTGCTAGCAGCCGAATCCACTGCGATCCCGTCTCTCGCTTTTGCGTCGCACGTCAGCGACTTGTTTTCTCCGAGCGCACCCGACAACCAAACTTCGAGAGCTATGTCCGAGGCGCATGTCGACGAGTACGAGCACTTCAACTACGATTACGACAAGCACATCTTCACCGGGCACGGTGGTAAGCAGAGGAGCAAGCGCGAGGCCGTCACCCACACCAACCACTTCGACCCGAGCGGCCATTCCAGAAAGATACTCACCAAGCTGAGGAACTCGGAGCATAACAAACGGCAGACCGGCGGCAAGTCGAAGGCGTAGTCTGCGTGTGGGTAAGATCTCGCGTCGCACTCGCTACGTATCTTGTCGATAATCTTCTCTCGGATGCCGAAACCCTGCTCAACGGATGGAGTAGCACTTAACGGGGCGATCGGGAAGAAGAGAGCGAAGATTCCTTCACCGTGATTGGTTGATTAATGGCTGCCTCGATTTGTAGGACTTCGGGCCTCTCGGAGAAATTCGCGGAGTGACTTCGTTCGCGTATGACGTGTTCTTGGCCGCGTCGTTCCGCGCTAATAAGCGAATCTTTGAACGTCGTCGGATTATCGTCGATCAATCTCCGATTAATTTTGATAATCAGCCTCGGCCGCTTCAAGAGTTATTCTCTCTGCGCTACTCGAGTGCCTTCGAATTGGCGGCTTAAATTGTTGAAAAGTGTAGTACATCGAAGTAACGCAACCTTGGTCGCATTCGATCGCGCGCACTCGCTTCGTCTTTTCCTACGCTTTTCTTTGTATCCTCCCGGGCCTTTTTTTCACACGCGTAGAATTCCGCCGATACGCGGCATCGTCGGCGCTTGTTTTCTTTTTCTTTCGACCGCGAATTATCCGGAGCGCCGATTACCGCGAACGCGTAGTATTCGAGTCCCCAGGAGCCGCGTACTACGCAGGTCATTTTTTTTATCTCAAGCGTGATTCATGCACGCATACACACACACACATATGTATACGTATCTGTTTTCTTTTTCTTTGACTCTCTTGTTTGCGACACGCACAGGATATACTCGTTTTTTTTTTTTTTACGACATCTCGTGATTGATTTTGAAAATATTCTGCAAACGCGACTTGCAACTCGACGCTCATCTGCGATTTTCGTTACGTGTTATACGATGCAACAGATATTATTTTATTTTCAGATAGAAGCACGTTCCTATTTTCGCGGCAGGCGTTGTCAGTTGGATCTCATCTCGCAGGACTCATCCTCCGCGCTAGGACGACCGGAAAAAGAAAACAAAGAAATATATACATACATATATATATACACCACGATCTTAATCTTCTGAAAAAAAAATGCATTTAGTCGTAGGTTCGCACGCAATGTAAGATCGGCACGGTAGTTCGTGCCTTTCATCATTCTTTCATTTATTATGTCCGAAGCACGAATCATGCTATTTATAAGAGTACAAAATAACATACATCGTATTTGGACTACTGCTTACTTCGTCTAAATCTGGAGTTTGCATGACACTTTCTTTTTTCTTATCTTAATAGGATAGTAAGGTTGTGTGTTGATTTCCGCAGTGTGATTAATTAAATGCGTAAAAAGCGCCGACTGCATTAATAAGCTATGATTAATTATTGAGTATTTCCTCTTCTATCTCTCTAGCATTTTGCATAGCTAGGGAGATCTATATGATGTAGTAAATGGCAGTCAAATGACTGTTAGGTGACCTGAGCGATTAAACAATACTCTTTACTTGTGCGTTGAGAAACGTTTAAGAGCAATTTCGTTGTCATTCGTTTCCGTAACGAGTAGCAATTGTGTCACGGCATACGGAAAGGAAACGCGCATGACGCATAAAGAGAATTAAGAGTTGACCCGCTTAAGTCAACTATCGGAAGAGAAACGTGACACGTTGTATTGGGCACCGTACAATCGACGATTACGTTTAATAATTCCAAGATATCTCTCGAGAAACGTAATAGATAATTTGTCATTGGGATAGAGAGAGAGAGAGAGAGTTGTAAGACAAAACTTCTAAATTCTCGCGCACGGAAATCGCCTAATATATCGCACATTGATGTTGACATCGGCAAATTTACTGTAATGAAAACTAACGGAGAAATAAATACTGCTAGTTAAGGACAACGCACTTTCGTTCATTCTCCACAGAAGTATATAAATATTTCGCAAATATATTTG